TAGTCTTACCCCATCAGAAATGGTGGAAGGTCGAGGTTCCAAGGGTTCGGTTGTTCGCYRATGAAAGTGGTAAACTCATTGTCGCGTCATACGAGTAATCTCTGACCTTTTTACTTCACTATATGCGGGAAAGTCCTAACCTCTTCGTTGAATGAATTTCAATATACAATGGATAATCAGCAGGCCCGGGAAACCAACATATGTCTGTGTAGGATCCTCAAAGATTATTGCCATAAGTATCCAAAAACGTTTTTGAAGCTCATGAAGTACCACATTGGATAGAAGAGGGTCGAAGGGCCGACCAATATGGTTGTCTTTCGATAAAATGACCGACCAAATATCTAAGTAGCTGAAGGAAAACAGATCAACCGAGACTTCGTTAATCGTGGCGAGCGAACACGGATTAGGCTTTAAATATCATCCAAAAAAAATTAAAAAATTTGGAAGTTTTGTCAGAGAAGGTGATGGTTGTGTACCACACCGAACATGTTCGAAGATTTTCTGAACGTCCGAACATGTTCGAGTGTTCGGTCGAACGCCTCCTGAACATGTTCGGTCGAACGCCTCCCGAACATGTTCGGCCGAACATATTAAATAACAATAAAAAAAAATTAAAATTTGGTTTTTTATTTTTAACTCGAGTTTGGTTACAAATTCGAGCATACCCCCAAGGTAAAATTTGTTTGTTTTATTGTTTTACATAACATATATTGTTTTCAAATTTTTCTGAGAATTGTTTGTTTTTTTTTAAATATTTTTTATGTTCGTATTCGGGGGGGGTGGCGCTCGTTTGCGTTCAGTCGCGAACCCGAAAACACGAGGCTACATAGGGTGATAGCCCTGTATATTTTTCCCAATAGTTTTCATTTCAAGAAGAAAATAAGTATATGTACTGACTAAATTTCTCTTCTTTAGGTTCTCTCTATTTAGATATTTTTGTGGTGGTATCCTTGATTCACCAATTGAGTTAAGAAATTAAACGGGGAATTCAAGTTCGTCGTTTTCGTCAAGTCATTCATCCACTCAGCAACATATGATCTCTTTGTCCGAAAATTGATGAAAAAGTTTATTATTGACTTATTTTGTTTCCTCGTTTTTAAGGAAGATAATCATTATTTTGGCAATCCAGTCTTTCTGTTCTGGATTTTAGAAAAGGTTGAAGTACGTCTATGTGATGAGATTTTCCGCACTGCTTATATGCAAATGTCGACAGACAAATGGTTGTTTCAACATCCTCATCTGCTTTTTCGTAATTTTCATCCTCGACTTTCAATAGCCATGACGTAAAGTGCATTGTTGTCTCGTCTCCGCCTCAAGGCCTTGATCGCGTGTTTTCTGCGACCTTCATAGTTTGTAAACAGTTTCATAGGGGCGAGCTTTTGCTGCAGACTTTCACTTGAGCTCTTGTGCTCCGCAGGATTACGGGAAACACTTGCATGAAATCCTTCGCCAACACCACGAGTTTGTTTGAGAATGGCAAGTAGGAGTTACAGAGAACTCTCAACGTGCGGTCCAAGGCCTCCAACATATTTATGTGGCTCATCCATACTTCATCCCGCACAATCAAATCGGATATTTTCATGAGTTGAGCTAACTCCGACTGTTTTGGTATTTTGAACAGAGTGTTGCTCCCGAATTTCATAGGAGCGCGAAATTGGGAATGGAATGCCCTTCCCCCATCTAGCAGCGTTGTTGCGATTCCGTGAGATGCAACAGCTAAGGCCACTTTTTTCTCTAGGCAGACACTTGCGAGGATTGTATTAATAAAAAGCGTTTTCCCTGTCCCTGCAAGTGCATCCAGGAAGATCCCCAAGGGCTTCGAATCTTGACTGCATCCACTACTCAATGCAGAAATATCTTTTGAGAAGGTATGAGGCATGTTGTTCGCGTTAACCATGTATGTTTGAGATTTGACATATCATACGATAATTCGTTACGCAATTCTCAAGATAATTTGTTCAATGTTTTTTGTCAATCCGATTGTTTTATGAACTTCGTATTCGCACAGCTATGATATCTAATGTTGTAGGTTTACAAGTTGAGTCCCCTTCTTTTCAACAATCACTGTATGTTCAAAATAACCATTGCCCTCAAACGCATGCCGCAAATAAGTGAAAGTCGGAGGGGCATTTTGAAAAATTTGAGCTTACCAGCCCGAGGAATTGAGAGTTCTGGAAGAATTTAGATTCGAACTTAGGTCTGTATTTCAATAGTCCATGGGTGTGCCAACTCAGGTAGACTTGTCAGCACTTACAGTCCACCCTGCTTAGCTGGTGGTAAGGACCGGGAGAAAAAGACAAGGAAAAAAAACATAGCCTCACTCCCCTACACGACACTAGACATATTTGGACGCTTTTTGGCAAAAGGTGCATTTGGACTAGGCCAACATTTTGAATCTATCGGCATGCAGAGTGTTGTGTAGTTGAGCAAGGCCTGTGTCCCGTCGCCATGATTTCAAGGTCGCACAGTGGTGTTGTCGTCTCATCGGGGGCCCACCAGACCTCCCCCATGCCTGATGTTTGGGCTCGCCACACCACCGTCGAAAGTGCATTTTTCTTTTCTTTTTTCCTTCCTTGAAATTGTAATTGCAAAGAAGATCTCCGAGGCCGGGGTCTTCACAGTCTACCTGGATGAACAAAATACTTCTAAGAGCCTTACCCAACTTCGCTTTTTACAGGACCCACAAGGACCCAAGACACCAGTAGGATTGCCGACAGCCAATCCAATATACTAATCAGTACACTGATCAAAAAGCAAAAATGGACTATTCCTATTTCCAGTAGGACCTCACTTCTATGAATTCTACTACCACACTTGTAAAACCAACTCCTAAACCTGCTTGTCACCTGGTACACTCTGAAAATACTAGATAATACGAACATCAAAGAATTAAACAGCAAAACGAAAACCCTTTCTAACAAAAATGCAATTTTCGATAGTTTCTCATCGCCACACAGCCTTTTGAAGAGAGGTAGAAAGCTTTGCTTGCAGGGGTCTCCTATATACCCTTAGGAGTAATGGTAGGTAGGTAGGTATTGAACGAAAGATATGTTCCATGACATGGCAGAACTCCAGTTAAAAATATGTGACTTGAGAGAAAAAATGAAAAAAATAATTAAAAAAAATAAAGACACAAAACAACTTTGCTAGTTGTCAGAGAAAGCTTCTCAACACCTCCTTTGGAAAGTGGTTTCATCCCCAGCCAGCCTGCAACTCCCAACGTGTTCAACAGTCCTCCACTCTGCTATCAAGTGTTCATCGGAATTTGGTGAATCGGCCTGACGTTGGGACGGCTGAACGCTTGTCCCCTCCTCACACGCGCTTGTCTGTTTCCGGCTTGGATGCATTCACGAGTTCGTGTATTCAACAGTGTTGTGAGGCTAAAGGGGGGGGAACTGTCGAAGGGGCAGCTGTCAAATTTCTTCTGACAGTTGTCGATTTTTTTAGCATTGCGACAGTGGTGTGGCGAGCCCCTTTGCATCGGCACTCGGGACGAGAAAAATCTACAGTGCAGGCAGGATGAGAAAATATAAGAATTCGACATTGATTGTAAGAGGGTGCCTGTAACACCACCATTCAACATTGGTTCGAACTCAACAGAGAAAGCCAAATTCAAAGCGTTCCAAATAGGAAGAAAATTAATTACGCCCCCGATATGAATGCACTGCCTGTCATGTCTATACAACAACTGCCGAAAAATCGTCAGACAAAACCACCTCTGCCTCTCTCTCTCTCTCCAATTAATTACGCCCCCGATATGAATGCACTGCCTGTCATGTCTATACAACAACTGCCGGAAAATCGTCAGACAAAACCGCCTCTCTCTCTCTCTCTCTCTCTCTCTCTCTCTCTCTCTCTCTCTCTCTCTCTCTCTCTCTCTCTCTCTCTCTCTCTCTCTCTCCACCCTCCGACCTATCTCCTTTTTTTTTGT